TCGGTGTCGTCTGTAGAAAGGAAGTAACAAGGCCTGCCCTGTGACCCTGTGACCCTGTGACAATTAAACGACACAATTCAGGCAACCTGCTTATCAGGGTGTCTCTCCTGTGGTAAGTACCTGTCAATCACGAGGACCCCCAGTTCTCTTCCCCCAGTTACAGCGATTTGAGGCTAAAACAGCAGAATGGCACCCGGGCCCCTGGGCACCTGCAGCCCCCAGGGGAGACGGAGGCACCGTCCGGGTGCTGCCTGAGACACCAGCCTCCCTCTTCATGGCGCAGGGTCACCCTCTGAGCGCCCCGGCTCTCCGGCCACAGCCCCTCAAATCTGCCCAGGAAGTCCCCCCGCTCCCCCCACCCGCTTTCCCTGCCCAGCAGCTGCAGCCCAGGGTGACATGCAGGCCGCCCAGGGGAGGGCACCTGGCGCCTGGCCCCGAGCCAGCAGTTAGGGACCCATCACCACCCCTTAACACGAGAGCAGCAGATGGTCACTTGCAGAGCATGGCTGTGGCGGGCGGCAGTGTTCACGTGTGACCTCTAAATTGAAACTAAAGTGGCCATTAATGGAGCTCATCTAATTAAAAACACTCTAATTGAGCATGAAGCAGGAAAAACGGCCAGGTTCTGGGCGAGGAGAAGGCAGAGCCCCAGCTGACGTGCTCGGCAAACCCAGCGAGCTCACGCCTGGCTTCCTGGCCCCGCCCCGGCCTCCCGTCACCTTTGAGACAATGGTAGTGGGTGTGGTGTAAGTTCTGGGGTGTCCCAGAGGTCAGACCTCTGGAAGGGTGACAGGGTCACCGCAGTAGCCAGAGCGGCCCCCTCTGGGGCCCGAGGCTTACAGGGTCCCCCCGGATAAGAACGGAGGCTCATAAACTTATGCCTTCTGCGTTTCGAAATGAAAACGGGGTAACAGATTAACCCGCAAGGGGCAGGCGAAATTAAGGAATTGATCGATTCTCAGAGAGGCTGAGTGACGAGCGCAGTGTCACATGCTTCAGGATGACCCTGCCTGCCCTGTCTCAGAGACGAGGGGCGGGTGAATGACACCAGACACAATGACAGATCCAAACTAACCTCTTGGGATGACACAGTGGCTTCCCAAACCCGCGTGTCACAGCACAGCCCTACTGTGCGTGGGAAGCGCCCAGCTGGCATCATGCCCATCCGACTCCGGGTCAGACCGCGGCCCCAGCCCGCTCCCGCCCCCACCCGCAGCCCCGCTCCTGACCCGTCTGGGAGCGAGGCAGGCAGAGCAGGTGGGACAGCGTCGCAGCGTGAGCGACCGCGCAGCGGCTCTCAGGGACACGGACAGGGACGCGATCACGTGCCACGTTACGGAGAGTCTAGGGAGGGGACGGGAGGCGTCAGCGCGCGCAGAGCCGAGAACCTAGAAACCCGTGTCAATGGGACGTGGGCGCTCGCAGCGTGGTGTCCCCGACACCGATGGCTTGAAACCAGCCCCGCCTCTGGGGGCCACACGGAGGCCGCAGGCCGGGCACCCACGTGGAGGGCCTGTGGGCAGCGGCAGCCCAGGCCGGCCTGCGGGAGGAGCAGGCAGCACCACGGGACAGTCGCACGGGCAGATGTGGAGCACATTCGTGGGCGCTTTGCATGGTTTCTGGGAAGCCCCCGTGTGCGGGGTCAGACGGGGAGGCGGAGGTCTAGTTCCAGCGCTGGCCTTTGTGGCTGGGGCGAGGGCGAAAGGCAGTGCAGGGAAGTGTCCTGGGCGCATGGAGAGCAGTGTGCACTGTCCCCAGTTCCCCTGCCCCGCCCCCGAGGGCCAGGCTGCATCCGCAGGCCAGGCGTCTGGATGCTACGAGCCGTTAGGGCCGTGGCCGCAGCCGCATCTGGATGTCACTGCCGGCCTCTGCCAGCTGCCCTCTCGGGCTTGAAATCACTCCTCCTGGGGACAAGGGGGTGAGGAATTCGGGGACGGGGACGCAGGCGCAGGGCGGCTGGCGGGACACCGGCTCTGGACCAGAAGCAGAGGCCCCTTCTGCCCCGCCCTCCTCCCTGTGAGGGGCTCGTCCGCCATGGCCACCTCAGGGCCAGCGCTGGAGATGGGCGGAGGCCGTGTGAGGCCGCGGACATGCAGTGCGCCCCACAGTGCTCTTCCCGCCAGCCCGCAGAGGAAGGGGACCCCGCCCCTCCCTGCCCGCTGGCACCTGCCCCAATGGCCTCCCTTCCTGGGGGGTCAGGCCCCTCAACTCAAGTCAGCCCAATGTCCGACAGAGGACGAGGACAGCCGACGTCCTGACAGGTCCCGAGGTCGCCCGCCACGTGCATGGCCGGCTGTGTCCCCCACGCCTCGCTGGGCTTCTGTGGAGGCCCCAAGTGACTCCTCGCTCCAACGAGCACGGCCTGTCCCCTTCCCGGAGGGCCCTCCGCTCTGCCCGCCCACATCTGGGGCCAGACCCCTGGGCTCCAGCCGCTTCGCCCACACTCCCCAAGCCCTCTGGCCCTCTGTCCCTGTCCCGCAACATGCAAGAACGTTCCCTCTCGAGGAAGGAGTCGGCGGCTCACTAATCCTCGCATCTCAGGCGCAAAGTGACATGCAGCTGGCACTGAAAACAAGTGTGTTGCATCGGACGGGACGGAGATGGCGGCGGCAGGTCTCGCCGCGTGCCGGGGCGGGGCCGGGGCCGGGGCCGACGGTCGTTTCTCTCCCTTTCGTCCCGGGCCCGCTCCCCAGAGCTCACGCGTCCGGAAGGAACCTGGGAACTGAGCTGTTCCCTCGGCACCTTGTGTTTTTAACTGAGCCTCACGGTGGCCCCAGGGGCTCAGCAGGATGCGTCGGCCTTTAGACGAAAACCTGTGGAAATGCGTTTCCTTAGCGGGCACAAGGTCGTCGTCTTCACGCCACTTTACCCTCAAAGAAGAGAGTCAAACTGCGTGGCCTCGTTCACCCTCCGAAAAAGTATTTTTCGAACGTCTCCTAACTTTTATCGTTACAAAAAGTAGCTTCTGCTCAAGTCAGATTAAAAGCTGAAAACCCGATTTAACAAAGCGGCTTTGCGGCAAGCCGGGCTGACCCCGACGGAGAGCGTGGTTTAGGTGTAGGAGCGCCACCGTGTGGCCCACTCGGAGACTGCAGCGGCCTGTGCGTCCCCGGGGTCTGCGGTCAGGACTCCAGACCAGCGTCTGCAGGAAGCGGGTGGTGAGAAGCCAGGACACCACACGGAGGCGTCAGGG